ATCAACCCAATTGGTTACCAAAGAAAAACAACACTCCCAATGGAAAGAATCCGAACTTCAAAGTTGACTCAGTCAACGGAAATAAGGAGTATCTGTTATTTAACCCGTAAAAATGAGGAATTGCTGTCAGAAGCAAGATATACCGTACTCCAAGCTTAAAAGTCTCAGAGTGCCCGAATTCAAGATTAACCCGTAAACCCAATCAGCATCAGAGTTCAAGAACAGAACAATCAAATGGAAAATGGGCAAAGTTTACGAACCTCGGAGAGAATTGAAGCGAGAAATCTGATCAGGAGGGAACCTGGAGGTATCGGAGAAGTACTCCTTGAGGCGAATAGCCTGATCATCACGGCCATCATCAAGAAGCTCGTGAAGAAGCTCAAATGCCGTGAGCAAGTAGTTCTCTTCCAACAGAAAATTCACAACGCAATTGCACAGGGACGACCTCCCCACATCCATATCTCTCTCTTACAAATCCTCAGATCAAAAACCTAATAGCCTATCCGTAGCTGATCAAAGGCCATTGAAGAAAAAGAAGAAGAAACAGTCTCAGATCTCCGTGAGCATAATTGCGACGCATTCATCTATGACAATGCATAGAGTGGAACGAAGGAGGAAGGAGGTGGCATCTCACATCACATGTGAGATGTTGGGATGTTCGCCTCAGTGTTAGTATCGAGTGGTGCGCGTCGATGGACAGGCGACCTGAAAGAACTGAGACAAGAAGAAGAAGAAATCTCTCAAATCTGAGAAAAAGTCTGACCGGGCAAAAGTGCGTGGGAGATCCGATCCGCATTGGTCTCGTCAGCATGCGAGACACTGCTCTTTATCATGACACCGTTCTAGTTGACTTTTCATTTACGTTTATTAATAAGTTAACATTTTCTTAAAAATAAATTCTGGGAATCTCTAGGAACACGTGGCATGTCTCGGAATTGTTTCTCCTATAAATAAGAAAATCATTTACATTATTTTTGTTTGAATTTTTTAAAAATAAAAAAATAAGCCGTACTGTTTATTTTTGAATTATATATTTTCATTTTCTTTCTATAAAAAATTGATCAAAAGTCTCTAATTATAAAATTAATTGTGCTATGATACTAATAATCTAGGTTTTTGAGATGGTGCAACTCTTCTTTAATTGTTTGCAACGTATCTTTAATTATATGATTACAAATGTTTTTCATTTTACATATAATTGAATATAGGTTGTATTGCAATTAAAAGAAGTTACACGATACCTTACAAGGAGAGAGAAGATAAATACCGTTGAAAATTGGCTAATGATGATCTCTTTTCTGTTAAATCTGCATATCAATTTTTCTTTTCCAGGTAACTAGAATAGGGGAGACAACATTGAGAAGTTGTTGTGAAAATGGAGAGTCATAAAGAAAATCAAATCCTTTTATGTGGTTGTTTACTCATGAGCAAGCGCACACAGCAAAGCTTTGAGTCAATAAAGGGACAGCGGAAGAAGCTTCATGTTCTTTTGGTTATGAGAGATAAAGACTCCGTGCACTTACTTCGAGACTCTAGAATTGCCAAGGAGCAATGGAAGTCAATAGTCTCTCCTTCTCTTTGGTGTGCCTTCTTTTTACAGCAAGGGAAGGATTAGGTCGAGTGGAATCTAAAGCATGAAGTGGGGCAAAATCATATCAAGACAGTTAGCTGGATCTCCTTATTAGCTATATATCTGTTTGTTGAGATATTTGGACATCCAGGTACACTAGGCTATTTAGAAGATATGGTAACTTAAATTAACAAAGTACCGATTCTAATCTGTTTAGAGCTGTAGCAAATCAAGATTATCCTAAAAGAAGTAACACATATAATCTTTATTAGGGATGTTCAAATTGTCTCGTCCCGATTGGTCAATCTCGGTCCCGGTCACTTTGAGACGGGATGGGATGAGACAAAAAAAATTTCGGGACGATACAAAATATTGTACGAGACGGGACGATACGCAGGACGGAGTTGTCCTATCCTGGGGTATATAATTTTTTAAAAAAATTTGCAAATATAGAAAATATCAAAGAAAAATAGATATGCCCTTTTCTAATACCATTTGACCATTCCTGTCTTCCTGAGTCCATCTCCCTCTCGCAATCTCCAACCTCCACAGCTCATCACTATTCAATCAATCGTGGCCTCTACTCCCTCCTTTCTACTCTCTAGTTCTCCTCTTCTCCCTAGCATCTAAGCATGACGGCATCGACTGGTGGCTCCTCTTACTCAATGTTGACGATCAACTTCAGTTCTGCCTTGTAATTTGCATTTGTCTCTGCAAATCACCATCCACCACACTCTCCATTCCAGATCCAGTCATCCCACTTGGTAAGGTAAGTTTCTTCATCTTCCCCAGTGCTTGCTATCCCCAATACTCACTCAATAAGGTAAGTTTCTTCTTTTCAGTGGAAGTCATCCTAAATTTCTCCTGTGATACTCACGTTCACCGATCTCTCTCCCCCTACCATCGCGTCTACTCATAATCCTTCTTCCTACTTCGCTTTGTTGTCTAACTCTGATTGCGTCGCCGTGAAATTCTCGCCCAGTCTCTCCTCGCAATCCAGCTCTAAACTCCCCGTGAGCCTGTCGCCGTGCCTGTGAACTTCTTGCCTTCCCTCTGAACTATCCCCATTTGGGTTCGACCTGGTAGCTTCTTTCCATCTTGGATTTGATTTGATTTGATTTTAAATGAAGAAATTAATGTGCAGGGAATTCGTCAAGAAGAACAGATGCTTACACTTTTAGTTTTTATTTTCAAAGTTGATAGTTCTATCCCGATGCGCATTATTATTCTATAGAATTGATGATTTGAAAGTGGCAAATTTGTATTTCTAAAAGTGTTGTCCATTTTCAAAGGCCCAAATTTTAAAATAATCATAGCCTCGGCTCAAAGCAATTTGATAGGCCAAAAAAAAAAAAGAAGAAATTTAGAAAGCCCAAAATCGAAAGGAAAAAAAAAAAGAGGGACAAGACGGGACACAGGACAAAAGTCTTGTCCCGCCCCCTGTTCACTGGGATAGGACCGGGACAGGCCTGTCCTAGTCCCGTTCCATCTTATGAACACTCCTAACTTTTACCATGAGAATAAGACATCAATTACTACTACTCTAAATGGGTCGGTCAAATAATTGTTGTGGAGGAGTTAGAAGGAAGACAATAACTAAATCTATAACTTTAGCCGTAAAACTACCAAGGTTCCACCAGTAATTGCAAAATTGATTGGGCTAATCCATGGGCCTCACTTATGCTCGTCTAGAAAACATGGGGAGGTTTTTGTACTTTTTGATTGTATTGAAGCCATTAATTTGTTGAATAGGGGTGATGACTCTACATGGCCTTTTAGTAACCTTATGGATGAAGTTAGATCTTTGTTTTGTGGAGACTAGCAGGCTGTTTTAAACTATATCTCTAGAGCTAACAGCTCTGGGATAGACCATCTTATTAAGATATTTCATAATCTTGAAGATAACTGTTTCATCTGTGATAACACTCAATCTTTTCCCTAGTTGGGAGAAGATAGTGATAAATGAAACTTGTTTTTGTTTGTTGTAGTTTTGTTTATTATCTCTTTATTGAGTTAATGTTATTCAGTTTTTATTCAAACAAAAAAAGTTACACAACTGAGAGTATATTGATTTAGGTCCTTAAATAAATCTTAGATATATTTGCACAAATAATTTTATCATAAGAAGATATTTTTTACTAATTTCCCATTTTTCCCCTAAAACGCATGCAATTATTTATTAAAAAAAAAATCAATCACCCACATTTTTTTAAAAAATTTATTTAGATTGATAGAGGTTTATTATTTTTAAAGAATATTTTTATGTTTTAAAAAAAATAAACGTGTTTAAAAAATCTTTAAAAATGAAGAGTATCCTAATAACTTTTTTTTACTTTAAACGAGGTTTGTAAATTTTAAAGAGGTAAAAAGTTCTTTTAATAAATTTTTAAAGCATATTTTTATTATTTTTTAAATTTTTTATAAGATATTTATACAATGCTATGTAACAAATAACAATCGACTCTCAATTTTTTTTAAAAATTTTTTGGCACTTTTTTCGGCTCATTCAATTAGAAGGATTCCCCACTTTTCTTTGGATTTGGACTTGACGTGGTGAAAGTGCATTTTAGCTGTTCGACTGTAAATCCCAATATCACATCATCATGTTGCTTGCCAAAGAAATTCAATTATACCATATGAAATTGAAAATAAAAATCGACCATTTTTGTTAGCCGAAAGAAAGATGGAATTGAACCTTTTGTTGGGGCCAAACACAGCAAATTAACAATAATGTGAAGTCTAGGCAACGTGCCATGAATCTATGGACTGCAAATGAATCATTAGCATAGAAGACACAAGAATATTCTTTTCTTTTTTTTTTTTCCCAAAGAAATATTAACTCCGGTTTTAACATAAAATTTATTTGATTTTTATTTTAATCTTAAATATAATACTCCAATTCACTTTATCTCTATATTTATTCATATTTTTTTTAAAATAATCATTCTAATAATAATAGTTCAAATCAATAAACTTGATTAGTAAAGATATTTTAGAAAAAACAATACATATTCGTTACAAATAATTAACTTAACTTATTTTTTTAATCTACTCAAATCAGTCAACTAGCTATTATATTTAGTAACGGAGATAGTGTTTATATACCTCGCTTTCTAGTTTAATTTTATTTCATCTGCCAAAAAAAAAATTAAAAAGCTACAGACTTGTGTCATAACTTCTTTCCAGAATGGCATCACCAAAGGACAAGAACTATTATCAGCACAAAAATGCATGGTTGCCTCTTTAATTTCCACCAAAAAAAAAAAAATCCCTGCGCATATCACAGCTTTGTAGTCTCTATATATTGAAGAACCTGATAACAAACGCTTTGGGCAAAAAAAAAAAAAAATGTTTGTTACAATTTGAATTCTTGATCTTGAGCAAGAACCTGCCATAACATGACCTTCGTATCTTCTGTCATGGTTTTGTACTAAGAATTCGGTAACGACGGAGGAGGAGGCTGAGATTTGTAAATCAGAACATGATCAAGATCACCACCACCACCATGCTGATCAGCAGATTCTGTGTTAGTCACAGCAACATTATGAGACTGAACATGCATTGGAGAAACATGTGATGGTGTCGCCGCTGAACTTGCCACTGGTGCAGTATAATAATTCTGAGAAACCATCAAGGAAGAATGACCGGAAGCTGTTGTAGGCAAACTACTGTTAGGTGGTATTTGAGCATAAGAAGGTACGAGGTATATTGGGTATGGATGAATAGGTTGATATGTCATATGTTGTAATGGTACAAACTGCACATGTTGTTGTCTCTGAACTTGTTGATTCAGGTTTGGACTGTTGGTACTATTTGCAGTAGTTTCTGATATAATAGTGGTTTCAGTGCCGTAACCTGCTCTGGCCTCCATTGAAGAAGAAGCTTGAACAATAATGGGATCTTGGTATGATATCCCCTGATGATGATAGTGGGGCACGATGTTTGAAACAGAATTATCACTGAAAGAGCAAAATAATGCAGAACCATTTAGAAAACCTCAATGGTGCATCTAAATGCTATAATATCATTGACTCAGATACCAGGATACAAACAATAATTGAAAAATCTAAAAGACAAGATTGAATTAGAACAGGACAATACATTCGGATCCATTAATAATATGTAGATTGGTCTATGAATTTGGATTAATGAAACTGAGAACACAGGGTTAGAGACCAAGTTAACACTAATATGCTTCATAAATTATCCCAAGTGTCTAATTCTAATCCTAAAAATACATGAACATACAAAGTATGATCATTGAACTCATCATGCTTGTTACGAATCAGTTCATTTCTGCAAACTAAAACAAAAGGGTCTAACTTAATATCTACAGGATTTTTCCCTTCAACAACATTTTTAGCGGATGGTCAAGAAAAATGTAACTAACATAAAAGACATATGAAGATTGAAGAGTACTTTGGAACAGTGTTGGTCTGCATCAACTTAGCTTTATTATCCTGCAGAACAAACTCGTTTTCTTCATTGCTCTGAGACTTGAAAGGCAAATTGGTCAACGAAGCCGTAGAAGAAGTTGACCCGAAAGACGAACTTGTCTCCAAAACCATCGACTCCGGACCCGAAGAGACAAACCCATGAGCCTCCACGCCCGATCCATAACAAAACCCAAACCCATGGGTCTCGCCGAGCCCCTTTTGCAGAATCTTAGCGCTCTTGAGCGCATCGAAGAACCAAGACTCGGTTTTCGGGTGCCGAATCACGGGCCGACTGGAACCCTGAAGCATATATGTAGGGAAGAGGAATACTCTGATGCGGGAGGGTGCAGAGGAGGGAGGAGAGGAACAGAGTCGGTCGTACTCGTCAATGAGGATTTGGAAATCTTCGTCGGAGGTGAGAGAAATGAGAGAGTTAAGGTCGAGATGGGGAAGCTGGTACTTTAAGGTGAAGGAGAAGCTGACGCAGAGGGTGGCGGAGAGGTGTGAGACGAGCAAGTCGAGGGTGGTGATGGTGCGGCGGTCAAAGGAGACGATGCGGGTGTCGCCGCCGACGTAGCAGAAGGGCTTATTGGGGCCAGGACGAGGGACTATGTGGCCGCCGTAGCTGCACATAAGGCGAACTTTGGCACTGCCGGCGGAGTCTGCGGTGGCGGTGGACGAAGTTAGCCCAAGTTCCATGAATGTGGGGGATCGAGGAAGGTGCAAAATTCGAGGCCGGCTTCACCGATGGAGGAAGCAAGAGCAGAGCAGGAGTGGGAGAGTGAGAGGCACATGGGGTACGCAGAAGCATGAGTTTATTTAAAAGCATGAGCACGTGCCACGTCATAGGAACGTGAGATGGGGAAGAAAGCTGACGTGTGCCTGAAGGGCAGGTCAAGGTGTGGAATGCGGATTATGAAACATGGTATTGGGATGATACAAGACAATACAAGGTGAAGATAGACTCTTCACAAGATGACAATTTAAGGAATGTCAATTTATTTATGCATTTATCTTTTTATCTTAAGTATAAAAACTATTTTATAATATAATTTACACTACAAAATAGATCATATATTTAAGACCGAAAAAATATAATGATAATACTGGTTAAAATTTGAAAGTCAGAATCTTTCTAATAAGTTGTTTATGTGTTGTGAATAAGTGTGATGCTAACTACTATGGTGTTTTATGCTCATTAGACAGCCATTTTGTGGAAGACCCATTGAATGAAAATTTTGGAGACAAGACTTTTTGTTGTTATTAGTATAATTAAGCATGAAAAAGGATTTATGATTTTCATATATTTATTTTCTCTCTAATTAATTTTAACTAACTTTTTAATGTACCTAATTTATTATCAATTACCAATCATCAAAATCATGAAGTATGCTAAATTAATTATCTAGTCAAACTATTATTAAACAGATTCGCCATTAAATGACTAGCTCACTTTTTTCCCAATTTTGATAGATGTCCGAACTGGATAATAAATCAATTACCAATCAAACTGATTGATCCATCCGATTCTAACAACCCTAAAATTTAGAGCTTAAGATTTTAATAATTTAAAGATTTAAACGTAAATTTGATGCACTATACAACCATAATTAACTACTAATATAACCAAACATTTGCAAATTGCTTGTTATTAAGATTGCATTGCAGGCAATATAATCTACTGTTTGCTCTCAATGTTCAACTTATATTTTTTTAAAAAAAAAAAAACAGCTTTTGAGGGAAATATAGAGTTTCTAGTATCACATCAACTTGAATTGTTTAATCGGTTAGTACTTGAAGTCTGACGAGAATAATATTCTACAACCAGCAATTTATTTATTTTCAAACCAACCCATTTACTATCTATTATTTGATTGACTAATCCTTTATATTAGAGTGGGTGAAGAGTCAAATGTTTTGGCAATTCCTCACGGGGGATGAATCAAGATAATTTTGAATCAGAGTTCTAGACTTTTCATTAAAAATAATGTATCCGTGACTACTTATTTTCACTTTTTTCCTTTCTTTTGGCCATGTCCATTTTTCTTTAATCAGTTGAAAAAAGAACTTAATTTAGCATATGGTAAGGATATAATTACAGTTAATGTTAAGATGTATATATTGATAAATCCCAAACTACGTGCAGTTCGCAAAAAAAGAAAAAAAAATCCCAAACTACGTATAACATAAATTTTATTTTTATTTTCGTATAAAAATGGAAACAGATAATTTTTTTAATAAAGAAATAGTATAATATTAATAAAATACGAGCACAGTATCTCTCGAATATTAAATTTTCATGTGAAACCGAATAAAAGATCACAAGCAATTTACAGTTTCACACTTGATCACCGGTCAAAGTGACCGTTGGGAAATTCAGCATCTGATCAGCAATCACTCCCTAAGTTTCCTAAATCAGACACCCATTGATTGATCTCCTCTGCAATCTCGCGCGCCATACCTTGTTTCCCAAGAAACTCACTGGCGTTATTGTGTTTCCTCAGAAACCCACCCGCGAGGTACTTTCTTTTCGGCATTTCCTTCAATTTACTGCGTTTTTTATTCGGTGAAATTCAGATTATATTCGTACTTCATCTCTGTTCTTCTTCGGCAGTAATCGATCTCTGCACTTGTCTGAAACAATGGGTCGAAGAAAATTAACGATGAAGACTCTTCAGAACAGGAATGCTCGCCGGGCTTTGTTTGAGAGGAGGAAGAAGGGTTTATTGAAGAAAGCTTCTGAACTTTCCACGCTCTGTGGGATTGATGCCTGTGTGATTATCTTCCCTCCTCCAGATTCTGAAAACCCTAAAGCTGAGACCTTTCCCCAGGATCCCACACAGGTGATTCGCAATCTGCAAGAGTATAACGCCAAGAAGAAATGCCCCGAGAAACAAAGAAAGAACTACGATCTCCGTGAGTTCTTCACTGATAGGAAGAACCAGGTTGAAGCTGAGACCTCCAGAGTCCGTGATCAGAGATTGAAGATGTTGTGCCCAACCTGGGATGACAGCTTTGACAACATGGGAGAGGATCAGCTGATGATGTTTATTGCTGCGTTGGATTGTAAGCTCCAAGAGTGTGATCAGACAATTGGGTTGTTGAACGCAAGGAAATCAGAGATTCCTGTGATTCCAGTGGGTTCGAATTTGTTGAACGATCATTGGTTGGAGATTCCTATCACTGTAATTCCTTCTTATCGTGATGTTTCAGATGAAACCCTCCTGGACCCGTGTTTTATGGAGAATATGAGTGATGAAGCCAATGTTGTATCTGATCCAATAAGGCGGCTTGTTGGTGATAATAACACTGACCTGATGGAATCTTGCTCTCTTCAGGCCCAGATGCTTCAGTCTGGTTCAACTTGGGATGACAGCTTCAAGGACCTAGTAGTAGTAGAGAAGCAGCAGGGGATGTTTCATGGTTCCATATTAGATTCTATCCTTCAAGAGTGTAATTGTCATATGACTGACTTGTTCCACACAGGTCTTTAGATTTTTGTATGAATCTGCATTAGGTGCTGATCGAATGCCCAGCTTCTAAACATCGCCATTTCTCGGACGTTTTTTATTTTTCATTTTTTGGTGTTGCTTCACACTTCAACAATCAATCTCCCTTAGACATTACTTTTTTATTTTAAATATTTTTATAATTAAAAAAATTAACCACTATATTTATTTTTTAATAATTATCCTATATATTATATGCATTTTAAAATTATATTTAAACTAAAAGCAGACCTCCTAAAATATTTCACCAATTTTTCAAAATAGTTGGTCGCCCCCTAATTCTTATAAACATATCTACTTACTGTAGGCTTACCAAGCAAAAATTCTTAAGTAAAGTAAAAAATTTCAGCGTATTAATAAAAATAAAAAATATGGTAATAAGAATGACATACTCCCTATGATCAATTTTATAAGATTTTTTCAATTAAATTATGCAGTTTTAAAAATAACTAAAATTATTTAAATATAATAAATATGTAAAAGTTGAATATTATTTTTTTAATTATGTCCTTATTTAATAATGAAATAAATAAAAAAAGAAATGATGTAAGGAAAAGTAGTATGATAAAAAGATAATGAGAAAGAATAAAAGAATTAATTAGGACCAAAATTGATAAACATATATTTAATGTTCAAACACTTATAAACTGGATCTTATAAAACGTAAGAAACTAATTCAAATTTTGAGATCTTATTAAAAAAAAAAAAAGGATTGAGTAACATTTAACACAGATTAAAAAAATAAGTCATAATATTATATATATATATATATATATGTATTATAATCATTTAAGTCGGTTGCCAATGCCGGCAAAAAATAAAAAATAAAAAAACGGGTTGCTATAATTCTAGAAATTTCAAATTTGAAATTTAATTTTATTAAAATTTCTTGTTTTGACATTGAATTCTCAACAGTTACTTTTTTATTTAATGTTCGTTAAGTAGGTGACAGAGTTGGGGTTGAGGCCCAGGAAAGCATGAAAAGAGAGTCCTGGGTTGAAATCTCCGAGTGATTGTGAAGATTAAACAAGAAAAATTTAGAAAAGAGAAAACTAGGAAAAAGGAGGGAGAAAAAAGGAAAGTACTGAGAGAGCCAAAGAACAGATGAGCAACAAAGCCAGAGAGAAGTGTGAAGAAGAAAGGGCGAGAGGTCAGAATACATTGAGAAGTACTATCTCCGTATTTTATTATAAAATCTAATTTTTTGAATAGGTCTGTTTTTTATTATAAGATTCTTTTTTATTTTGTCTGAAAAGATACTCCTTCTGTTCCTTATTATAAGAGACATTTGATGTTTATGGCATGTTTTTATATATAAGAGACACTTAAAAGTTGTCTCTACTTTTTTGTATTGATTTCCTATTTTACCCATATTTATTTTGTCTCCAATTCACACTCTCCCTCCCTCCTACTTCTCTTTCTTTTAATAATTTAATTATTCTCTCTCATGTTCTCTCTCCTTATTAATGAGGGCATTTTTGGAAGAAAAAAATTATACTTTTTACACCTTGATTGTTCTTAACTAATTTTAACTGTTTTTTTTATCAACGTAATTCGATTATTCGTTTCTTGTAATAAGAAACCGAAGGAGTAATAGAAAGGTGATCAGGAGAAGGGACGAAGAGAACAAAATCACTAGAAAAAGCAGATACATCAGCTTGCAAGGCAGGAGAGAGGAACAATAAAACCACCACAAGAAACATGTATGGCGGACAGGAACTATAAGGAAACGAAGAGAAAATTAATGCAACCATCGTGTGTGAAGAAGGAGAAGGGGAAGAACAAGAAACGAACCAATACCACACAGTGGGAAAATAATTAAAGGAATAGGTAATAAAAGCTAGAACTTGAAAAAGGCTTGAATTTAATCTGCAAATAAGAAGAAAAGAAAGACTTGAACTAGAAAAATTACCAGGAAACTATGAGTAGACCAGTGTACTCTTCTCTTCTCCAGAAGAGAGAAGGCAGAGCATCTCTCTCTAGGACTCTCTCTCTCTAGAGACACCCATCAAATATATATATATATATATATATATATATATAACACTAAAGAGAAAGCAAGCAAAAGACAAATAAAAACATAAACTAACATAGTTTTGGGTTATTGAAAAATTTAATGGTAAAAAAGGGCTTCGGATTGCTTTTTGCTAGTCACGACCAGCTCACTTTTTCTTCCATTTTGATAGATGTCCAAACCGGGCAACAAGTCATTTACCAATCAGACCGATTGATCCTTCCGATTCTAACAACCCTACAATTTAGAGCTTAATAATTTAATAATTTAAAGCTTTAAAAGTAAATCTGAGGCACTATATAACCATAATTAAATATAACCACACATTGGCAAATTTCTTCTTATTAAGATTGCATTGCAGGCAATATAATCTACTGTTTGCTCTCAATATTCAACTTATATAAAAAAAAAAAAATCAGCTTTTGAGGGCAGTATAGAGTTTCTATTTATCACATGATCTTGAATTGTTTACTCAGTTAGTCTTTATTTTCATTAAAAATAATGTATCCGTAACTACTTGTTTTGATTTTTTTTCCCTTTCTTTTGGCCATGTCCATTTTTGTTTAATCAGTTGACCAAAAAAAAACTAATTTAGCATATGGTAAGGATATAATTATAATTAATGTAAAGATGTATCCATTGATATATCCCAAACTACGCACAGTCGGGAAAAACAATCCCAAATTTTATTTCTTATTTTCGTGTAAAAATAAAAACATAGATAATTTTTTGATAAAGAGATAGTATAATATTAATAAAATACGAGCACAATTCCTCAAGAATATTAAATTTAAATGTGAAACCCAATAAAAGATCACAAGCAATTTACAGTTTCACACTTGATCACCGGTCAAAGTGAACGTTGGGAAATTCAACATCTAATCAGCAATCACTCCCTAAGTTTCCTAAAGCAGAAACCCATTAATTGATCTTCTCCGCAATCTCGCGCGCCATACCTTGTTTCCCAAGAAACTCACTGGCCATACTGTGTTTCCTGAGAAACCAACCCACAAGGTACTTTCTTTTCGGCATCTCCTTCCATTTACTGCGTTTTTTTAGGGGTAAAATTCAGATTATATTCATACTTGATCTCTGTTCTTCTTCGGCAGTAATCGATCTCTGCCCTTGTCTGAAACAATGGGTCGAAGAAAATTAACGATGAAGACCCTCCAGAACAGGAATGCTCGCCGGGCTTTGTTTGAGAGGAGGAAGAAGGGTTTATTGAAGAAAGCTTCTGAACTTTCCACGCTCTGTGGGATTGATGCCTGTGTGATAATCTTCCCTCCTCCAGATTCTGAAAACCCTAAAGCTGAGACCTTTCCCCAAGATCCCACACAGTTGATTCGCAATCTGCAAGAGTATAGCGCCAAGAAGAAATGCCCCGAGAAACAAAGAAAGAACTACGATCTCCGTGAGTTCTTCACTGATAGGAAGAACCAGGTTGAAGCTGAGACCTCCAGAGTCCGTGACCAGAGATTGAAGATGTTGTGCCCCACCTGGGGTGACAGCTTTGACAACCTGGGAGAGGATCAGCTGATGATGTTTATTGCTGCGTTGGATTGTAAGCTCCAAGAGTGTGATCAGACAATTGGGTTGTTGAACGCAAGGAAATCAGAGATTCCTGTGGTTCCAGTGGGTTTGGATTTGTTGAACGATCATTGTTTGGAGATTCCTATTACTGTAATTCCTTCTTATCGTGATGTTTCAGATGAAACTCACCTGGACCTGGGTTTTATGGAGAATATGAGTGATGAAGGCAATGTTGTATCTGATCCAATAAGGCGACTTGTTGGTGATAGTAACACTGACCTGATGGAATCTTGCTCTCTTCAGGCCCAGATGCTTCAGTCTGGTTCAACTTGGGATGACAGCTTCAAGGACCTGGTAGTAATAGAGAAGCAGCAGGGGATGTTTCATGGTTCAATTTTAGATTCTATCCTTCAAGAGTGTGATTGTCACATGACTGACTTGTTCCACACAGGTCTTTAGATTTTTGTACGAGTCTACATTAGGCGCCCGCCGTTTCTCATACCCTTTTTTTTTTTGGACCTGTTGCTCCAGATTTCAATTTTCAACAATCAATCTCCCCATTTCCCATCTCTCCTCTTTTTTTTTTTCCCCCGTAGGTTGTTAGACATTAATTTTTTATTTTAAATATTTTTATAATTAAAAAATTAAGCACTATATTTATTTTTTAATAATTATCCTATATACTATATGCATTTTAAAATTATATTTAAACTAAAAGCAGACCTCCTAAAATATTTCACCAATTTTTCATAATAGTTGATTGCCCCTAATTCTTATAAACATATCTGCTTACTGGAAGTTGACCAACGTATTAGAAAAATAAAAAAAATATGGTAATAAGAATTACATACTCCCTCTGATTTTTTTCAATTTAATTACGTAGTTTAACAAAATAACTAAAATTATTTAAATATAATAAATATGTAAAAACTGAATATCATTTTTTTAAGTATGTCATTATTTAATAACGAAGTAAATAAAAAAGAAATGATGAAAGGAAAAGTAATATGAAAAAAAGATAATGAGAATGAATGAAAAAATTAATCAGGACCAAAATTGATAAAAATATATTTAATATTCAGACACTCCTAAACAGATCTTATAAGAAAAACTAAACGAATTCAAATTTGGAGATCTTATAAAAAAAAATGGATTGAGTAACATTTAACATACATTAAAAAAAAAGTCATAATATTATATATATATATATATATATATATAAAATAATCATTTAAGTCGGTTGCCCATGCCAGCAAAAATAAAATAAAATAAAAAAAGCGGGTTGCTATACCTCTAGAAATTTCAAATTTAATTTTATTAAAATTTTGATTTTTAACATGAAATTCTCAACAGTTATTTTTTTATTTAATGTTCGTTAAGTAGGTGAGAGAGTTGGGGTTGAAGCCCAGGGAAGGATGAAAGGAGAGTTCTGGGTTGAAATCTAACTGCCCAGTCATTGTGAAGCTTAAACAAGGAAAATTTAGAAAAGAAAAAAAATGAGGAAAAAGGAAGGAGAAAAAAAAGGAAACTACTGCATGAGTTACAAAGCCAGAGAGGAGAAGTGTGAAGAAGAAAGGGCGAGAACTTAGATTATATAGAGAAGCAGTGAAGAACGAACGAAAAAGATCAAACGTCAAGGCTAGAAAAGGTGAGAAAAGGGACAGGCTAGTGTAGAAAGGAGAGATGAAAAGAAAACCAATGAGAGTGAGAAAACCCGATAAGAAGGGGAAGAAAAATAAAAAGATAATTGAAAGGTGATCAGGAGAAGGGCTAAAAAGAAAACAAAATCACTAGAAAAAGTAGATGCGCAAACAAAACTCACTAATCAGTTTGCAAGGCAAGAGGAAGGAACAATAAAACCGCGTTCGCATTCCGTGCTCATCAGCCTGATGAGCACTGAGTGCTCAACACTCAAAACGCTGTGCGTTTTGAGTGCTGAGCATTTTTATTTTTTTTACTTTATTTTTTGTTACAAAAAAATTTATACCATCTCAAATTATTAATATAAAAATTATCTTGATATTTAAAAATTATTAATATAAAAATTATCTTGATATTTAATTTAGTCTTAAATATAATATTCTAATCTACTTTATCTCTTATATATTTATTTTTTTCAATATAGTCCTTATAATAATTGTACGTGTTAAAGATTTAATCAATTATTGATTTTAGTTAATACACGTAATTAGTGAGAGGCATTTTAGAGAAAGCAACATTTATTTATTACAACTGACTAATTTAGCTAATTTTTGTAGTATACTTGAATTAGTTAAACTAACTCTTATATTAAGAATCAGAAGAAGTATGTATTAAAATTATTTTTGGTTAACATTTATCTAGTACTAAAAAATATTTTTTTAGATGTTTTCAATATCTTAAAGTATTTTATGATTTATTTAGTACCTTAAAATATTTTTTCACATGCATTTAATGTTTTAAAAAATTTTCTATTTCTTGATATTGTATCATAAAATATTTTAGAATACTAAAAAATATTTAAGGATACTAGATAAATCATAAAAGACTTTAGAATACTAGATCCTAAAATATGTTTTTAGGTAAGCCCAGTCACAAAGTATTTTAAAATAATAAACATATATGAAAAAATATTTTAGGTACCAAATAGATCACAAAATACTTTAAAATACTAGATTCTTAAATATTTTTTCAAATGCATTGTTAGAAAATTTTTTAGAACACTAAATACATATGAGAAAATATTTCAGGATATGATAAAATATTTTAAAATATTGAATATGTGTAAAAAAATATTTAAGAGTATTAGATAAACTTTAACTAAAAATAATTCTAATACATATATTTTTTTGTAATAAAAAAAAAAGGTCCCTCATGCTCAGCACTCAAAACGTCCACGTTTTGAGTGCTGAGCACGGAATGCAGATCCAATAAAACCACCACAAGAAACATGCATGGCGGACAGGAACTATGGGGAAACGAAGAGAAATTAATGCAACCATCATGTGTGAAGAAGGAGAAAGGGAAGAACAAGAAACGAACCAATACCACACAAAAGCTAGAACCTTAAAAAGGCTTGAACTTATCTGCAAATAGGAAGAAAAGAAAGACTTGAACTAGAAAAATTACCAGGAAACTATGAGTAAACCAGTGTACTCTTCTCCAGAAGAAAGAAGGCAGAGCATCTCTCTCTAGAACTCTCTCTCTAGAGACGCCCATCAAACATATATATTCTTCCGGTCTTTAATATAATACATATTTAACTAATTTGATTAGATTAAGGAAGTTAGGTAAGTTAGTTAATTATAAGAAATGTGACGCATTATTCCTGAAATACCATAATCATCTTTCTTAATACCTATTCTCCTTCTTCTACTTGATTATGGTTGACAGAGTATCCATAAGAGTAATTTAGAAAAAATTAATAAATATGATAAATGGGTCTTATATTTAGGATCAAAACCAACTCAACAATTGAGTCCTATATTAAGGACCGGAAGAGTGTAACACTAAAAAGAAAGCAAGTAAAAGACAAATAAAAACATAAACTAACACAGTTTTGGGTTATCGACAAATTTAATGGTATTGGTTTTTGTTAGTTATGACCAACTCACTTTTTCTTCCATTTTGATAGATGTCCAAACCGGGTAACAAGTCATTTACCAATCAGACCGATTGATCCATCCGATTCTAACAGCCCTAGAATTTAGAGCTTAATAATTTAATAATTTAAAGCTTTAAAAGTAACTATGATGCACTATATAACCATAATTAAATATAGCCACACATTGGCAAATTGCTTCTTATTAACATTGTATTGCAGGCAATATAATCTACTGTTTGCTCTCAATATTCAACTTATATATTAAAAAAAAAATTCAGCTTTTGAGGGCAGTATAGTGTTTCTATTATCACATGAACTTGAATTGTTTAATCAGTTACTATATATTTTCATTAAAAATAATGTATCCGTAACTACTTATTCTCATTTTTTTCCCTTTCTTTTGGCCATGTCCATTGTTGTTTAATCAGTTGACAAAAAAAAAAAAACTAATTTAGCATATGGTAAGGATATAATTATAATTAATGTAAAGATGTATACATTGATATATCCCAAACTACATACAGTCGGGAAAAAAATCCCAAATTTTATTTCTTATTTTCGTATAAAAATAAAAACATAGATAATTTTTTGATAAAGAAATACTACTAGTATAATATTAATAAAACACGAGCACAATTCCTCAAGAATATTAAATTTAAATATGAAACCCAATAAAAGATGACAAGCAATTTACAGCTTTACACTCGATCACCGGTCAAAGTGAACGTTGCGAAATTCAACTTCTAATCGGCAATCACTCCCTAAGTTTCCTAAATCAGACACCCATTAATTGATCCTCTCTGCAATCTCGCGCGCCATACCTTGTTTCCCAAGAAACTCACTGGCCACATTGTGTTTCCTGAGAAACCCACCTGCAAGGTACTTTCTTTTCGGCATTTCCTTCAATTTACGGCGCTTTTTTTTTTCCTCGTGAGATTCAGATTATATTCGGACTTCATATCTGTTCTTCTTCGGCAGTAATCGACCTCTGCACTTGTCTGAAACAATGGGTCGAAGAAAATTAACGATGAAGACCCTCCAGAATAGGAATGCTCGCCGGGCTTTGTTTGAGAGGAGGAAGAAGGGTTTATTGAAGAAAGCTTCTGAACTTTCCACGCTCTGTGGGATTGATGCCTGTGTGATTATCTTCCCTCCTCCAGATTCTGAAAACCCTAAAGCTGAGACCTTTCCCCAGGATCCCACACAGGTGATTCGCAATCTGCAAGAGTATAACGCCAAGAAGAAATGCCCCGAGAAACAAAGGAAGAACTACGATCTCCGTGAGTTCTTCACTGATAGGAAGAACCAGGTTGAAGCTGAGACCTCCCGAGTCCGTGAACAGAGATTGAAGATGTTGTGCCCAACCTGGGATGACAGCTTTGACAACATGGGAGAGGATCAGCTGATGATGTTTATTGCTGCGTTGGATTGTAAGCTCCGAGAGTGTGATCAGACAATTGGGTTGTTGAAAGCAAAGAAATCAGAGATTCCTGTGGTTCCAGTGGGTTTGGATTTGTCGAACGACCATTGTTTGGAGATTCCTATCACTGTAATTCCTTCTTATCGTGATGTTTCAGATGAAACCCTCCTGGACCCGGGTTTTATGGAGAGTATGAGTAATGAAGCCAATGTTGTATCTGATCCAATAAGGCGGCTTGTTGGTGATAATAACACTGACCTGATGAAATCTTGCTCTCTTCAGGCCCAGATGCTTCAGTCTGGTTCAACTTGGGATGGCAGCTTCAAGGACCTGGTAGTAGTAGAGAAGCAGCAGGGGATGTTTCATGGTTCCATATTAGATTCTATCCTTCAAGAGTGTAATTGTCATATGACTGACTTGTTCCACACAGGTCTTTAGATTTTTGTATGAATCTGC